AAATAATTTTTATAACATATTTTTTCTTGCATGTAAAGGAGATGTTCAATATTCGCATAAGAAGTCGAGATTGACAACTTTATTCAATTCTGACCTACTCTCATGTACCGAACATACGGATCATTGATGACTTCCAACTGCAATTAAACTACATCTTTTGAGGCATAACAGTTTCAATGAGGTTATCATAGCAAGTAACGAACATTTCGATCAGCAGTCAATCTTCCCACATTACTGTTATAATTAAATCCGTTTGATCTACTTTTTCTTGTAGCCCACAATTGTTTTCCTTTTTCCTTTTTGTTTTCAGTGACTCTCGCCTCACGTTCATATGAACTGTGTAATTTCAGCGTTATGGCAACCACCAGTTCTCTTGGCGGTTTTAAATTCTTGTTTCATTTGACGGTACGAAGAATTAATCTTTGTACAACGAGCAACCTCAGCAAGTTCTTAACGCAAGCTCGTTGTAAATCCGCTTTCAGCCTCCAACTCCGCAAAATGTCGGTAAGTATGACGTTTTCATGAATCTTCTGTTTAAATTTTTTTAAGAAATACCTAAAGATAAAAACCCTTCGAACAAACGTAATTACTGATTTTCAGAGCTCAGTTTTTCTGGATCATTACACAGCAGCTCCGTACGGTTTATTTGATGTTCTCATATCAGACATTACCGAAAAAGAATTAGTCGATGTGGGGCTTTTTAAAATCTTTTATATAATATTCGTGTTCTTAGCTTGGATCTGATGAAAGAGTTGAGAAATTGTCAAAAGGATGCTTCTCTTCTACTTCTCCGATGAAAATATGGAAACACGGTATAAACTTGAGATTGGTTCCGCATAGACCGGAAATGGAAAAGTTGTTAACTAAAAAAAAACTAACTTAAAAATTGTTTTTTTTTCTTTCGTTAAGCGGTTGTAAATAATAAAAGTTACCGACTAAACTTTTTTGTGTTTTATTTGAGACATAAAGTTTGGTGCATCGGCCGGGAACCGAACCCGGATTGCCCGCGTGGATTAATGGTACGACTGCTTGTTTAAAATATGAGTAATGGTTAAAACAATACAGTTTTAATTGTGCAAATTTCAGAAAAAAAAATTCCACACCTCGTTATGTTTGGTTTTATGTTTGTCCCTACTCACCATTCACATGCTTGTCTGTAAGATCTTTCGAAACGCTGGTAGGACACGGCTTTATCCATGATTCACACCTTCTGGCGATTCAAGTATTTTTCAATTCATTTTCGAAGAATAAATTTCAATGCACAGGATCCAACGAATAAAATGGAATGCTATGTTTCAAAAGCTCATTTTTTTCAAGACAATTCAATGTAGTTTAACTTCAGTACTTTTCTAACTTATCAGTCTTTGTTATTTTGTTCACTTTGCCTGTTCTATGCATCGATCATTCCTTCTTTCCAGATAGTTTTACTGAATAATAA